ACCGTATGAATCGAAATCGAATCCATTTAGGACCGTATGAATCGAAATCGAATCCATTTAGGACCGTATGAATCGAAATCGAATCCATTTAGGACCGTATGAATCGAAATCGAATCAATTTAGGGCTTTGGTGAAAATACACATCCCTAGTCTGAAACCATAGCTCGCCACAGACATACATCTGAAAGTGCACATGCGCAGAAAAAGATAGCTAATATCACCAGAATGATTGACAGTTAGGAGGACCGCTTATTTAGATGATCCACCTGGAAATAAAAGACCGTCCTTTATACCTTTATCATAACTTAATGTTATAGAAAAAGACTCAATAGATCTGCCCCTTTGATTTGAGCTCATCATCTATCAATGGAAAATCAATGGTTTTCTTCCAAATCCAAACTTTAACATCAGTTTGGTGCATCTCTAGTGAGAATTAGAGTTTGAAATATGTTTATTATTAGCATTTTTTTTTTCTTTAAATGGTATCCTTATTTTCTTAATGAAATCAAACCACTTGATGGCAGACTGAGCTCTTTGCTTTGTTCATGAGCTGCCATCATAAAGAAAATGCTGGAAAACTGCCTCTTTATGAAAGACTTTAAAAACTAATACACAAAAGATAAAGGAGTTGAACGCTGCTCTGAATCATTAAAGAAACGTACAAAAAAAAGATCAAGTAGATATGCAAGTATTTAATTATTGTTAAAATATCAAAATTAGAAAGAAATAAAGCAAAAATCCATGTTTTTATTTCACTTCTGATCCTTTTTAGTAAATCATAATAATCATGTATCTTAGTCAGAACTTTTTTTTAATATAGTTTCAGAGCCAACCTTTCTTTTAAGCCAATTGGTGGCTGTTTTTGTCCTTTTCTCTGAAGAGCCATCTGTACTTCTGGTACAGGAAAGATGGAGACATCTTGATTAACTCCAAAGGTGTCCTTCCCAAAATAGCATGCACACTACTTGATCAAGTGCCTCTAATTAAAGTCTATATGTTTGGCAGTGCAAGGTATGTTATATTATTTTTTTAAACTAGTGAGTTTTCCTCTTAATTTCAGCAGGTAGGACAATTTGCAAATGAAATAAGTTGATTTAAAATGTGTTAAAAGTAAATGATCTGCTTTGAAGTGGGTAGCATCTAAGATTAAGGGCAAAAGTACCGATTCATTAGTAGATTAGATTAGATTATCTTATTAATTTGCTTAAATGAAGACATTTGAACATATTTTAGACCAGTTTTTGCAGTCCAGTTATTTTGTGTGATGCTGTTTCCCCTCTGGATCCTTCCCTTAGCTGCGTTTCTTCTGTAGACACCGTGTAGCCAGGTGACAGGAAGCGCCTGCCGTCCCCTCTGGGCCTCAACACGTTTCATAAACAAAGATGATGAAACTTACTGAGAACTTGACGCCTCGAAGCAAGCTGAACCGCAGGAGGATTTAACCACGTGTGATCGGATCTGCTTTATTTCAGGGTCTGACTGGTGCGAAAGCTGCTGAGATTCTGGCCCGCGATGGGCCCAACGCCCTCACGCCGCCTCCCACCACCCCGGAGTGGGTGAAATTCTGCAAGCAGGTAACACTGGACACTAATGGTCCATGTGATTTTGAGTTGAGCTCCTTTTTTTAGACTGGATTGCTCTGTTTTGTAGATGTTTGGCGGTTTCTCCATGCTGCTGTGGACCGGAGCCGTCCTCTGCTTCCTGGCTTATGGGATTCAGGCCGCCATGGAAGACGAGCCTGCAAACGATAATGTATGGAGAGAAAAAAAAGAAAAGTTTCTGATTCATTCTGGAGTTAAATTATGAACCATTATTGTTGCAAATGAAGAACACCTTTAGGAAATTAAAATTTAAAGCAAAAAAAATGCAATCTGGGAAAAGGGTCGGCATAAAAGTCAATTTTCTCAGATTTTTTTTTTCTTTTTCTAATTTCACAGATTTCTACCCTTTTTCATTCTATTTTTCATAGATTTTTACAAATTGTATAATTTTCCTGTGGAGTGCGGAGCAAAGATGCATTTCTATTGTCTGCTTTACATAATTAATGACGTATTGATCAAACTTAGCAGCTTGGAGGGAAGAAAATATGACCTGCCAAAGGCAATTTGAAAAAATAAAAACAGAATTTTGGAGGGAAAAAAAGCAGCAAAGTTTTTTAAAACATTTTCCAAATCTTCAAATCTAGATTAAACTTTTACAATTTTCATCTTATAAAATGTGTTCTTTGCTTGCATCAATACTAAAACAGAATTTCCACCGTAATAAACCTGCCGTTTGTCCATCTCCAGCTGTACCTTGGTGTTGTGCTCTCTGCTGTCGTCATCATCACTGGTTGCTTCTCATATTACCAAGAGGCCAAAAGCTCCAAGATCATGGATTCCTTCAAGAACCTGGTTCCTCAGGTGCTTCCTCCATCAAATTCAAATGAATCCATTGATTCTGGATGGAAGTATGATCATCTGAACCCATCAGCTAAAAATATCTGGTGTTGCAGCAAGCCCTGGTTGTCCGTGATGGCGAGAAGAAGAGCATCAACGCCGAGGAGGTGGTGGTCGGCGATCTGGTGGAAGTGAAAGGTGGAGACAGGATTCCTGCTGATCTCAGAATCATTTCTGCTCATGGCTGCAAGGTTGGTGCTTTCACTGGAACCCTTTAAGCATTTTTTTCTAAAAACACAGTGGAGTAAATCTTGGATTTATGTCTCTTTCACTTAATCCAGAAAATATATATATAATTTTTTTTCTGGTACACATTTGTTATGACCACTTTGTGACGTTGAAATTGAGCTTGAAAAACATTTAAGCTGCCTTTGATTTTTTTTTTCTCATTGAAGCTTCCTCCTGTGAGCAGCTGGAGGCTTTTATGAGACCCATATCAGTCCGCGGCCTTTCAGAAGGCTTTATTCTTCAAAAGAGAGAGAATAAAATAAAAGGATCTTTTTACCAATTCTCAAAATGTGAAATA